GATTCTCTTTTAAGACTGCCTTTGCCGAGAGGAATACCAAAACAAACGACCCTATGTTAGTCACTCACCTGCATAAAATACCAAAAATAGACCAGCATCTGATTTTAGATATGCGGGTCACTAATAGAACCCTTAAAATTATTGTTCAGAAAATTTTTAATTTTAATGTCGATGTGGTTTCCATAAACTTAATAAAATCATACCAATCGCACAAATGTTAATGCAGAAGTCTTTCTACAGCACCGTGGTTTTAAAAGCCTATGAAAAGAGAGTTATCGAAAGTACCACTTAAGTTTACACTCAGTGACTTCGGGTTTTGTTAGCGAATACTAGCGAGTGCAATTAGTGGAGTTTGGAACAGCAAAATTAAATTGTCTATCATCAGACAAACGTGGGTTTCTTCTCTACAGTGACCACACGGGTTCTCACACTTATATTTTGAGTTCTGCTTTTAATTTGTGATGGCACTCAGTATACAACACTTCTATTGCTAAACGTTCGACTATCTGCTGTGTGTAAGAATTAAGTTTGTGCACGAGGTAAAAAAATGCCGACCGTTGTTTAACAAATTCACCAGCGTTTTAACGCTTCTGCTGTACTGGCAGGCGTAGGCATTCCATCTACAATTATTATGCGCATTTTGTCTACTAACTGACTACTCTTTGCACTGAACGCTTTTCTAACTGAGCATTTCTTTTATTTAAAAAATACGTGTGAGGCTTGGGACTATCGACCGATGTAGACATTTCAGCAGGGCCGGCTTTTTCTAACGGCACGAACCAGCTAATTTCATCCCACCTACGAACAAAAAACTTTGCAGAACAACACTCTCTGTGAAGAATATAGCAGGCTGTTCCCCATAGTTTCTTCCTGCCCCGCGCATATGCTTAGTCCTTACCGTGTTGTGGACTATGTGTCAACAACCGGCATGTCTGCAATGACATCGTCCAGCGGTTTAAATATGTGACCTGAATTACGAATCGTGATTACAGCAACTTAGATTATCGTTTGAAGTCACCTAAAACGTTGCATACTTTGCATATCTGTCCGTCCCTTTTCAAAACAGTCCTTTTCTGACGCGGAATATGCGTTTTGGTAATCTCGGATGGTATGTAAGCCCATACATTAAAGTCCACGTCAAATTACTTTTTATTTGAACAATTTTCTATGTTAATAAATGTCCCAGACATAGTGCGTACGTGTTTTTTTACGTGGAATCAGCGATCAAAACAGGAAACAATCCTCAAACCATGCTGCGCTCACCCAACATTTAAACAGTTGTTTCTCATAAGTCGGGTAAAAGCAAATGTGGAGGAGTAGGTCGCTTTTTGGAAAGACGGGAGCTGTTTGATTTTAATAATTATTATTTGTCCATCTGCGCGATTTAACGTCCAATGAGAAAAATAACGCATGTCTTGCTTTAATAAAGGCAGTATTTCACAGGAGACCGAGAAATGTCCCACCACCGAGAGGCCATTTTGACTTCTGGGCATGTAATAAGATACCTTTAAGGCCGTCTAGTTTCTGGTTATGCGAGTCGACAGAGAACTGGGACATTTATAATCCTAAAGCAAAATCGAAAGGAAAGCACAGTTTGATAAGAGTATTGTAATAGGAAGAGAACAATCGGGTCTTTTGTCTGAAAAAATGAACGTCATTTCTAAGGACAAGGAAAACTGGACCAAATGTTTTATTTGTTTCGTGATCTGCCTTGAAAAGGGATAAATTATGTGAAAATGTGTCAACAAATTATCATGCAACTACCTTTTAACGTAGTAATTTACAAAAATCTTTTTTAAACCTCTTTAAAATGAGCAATAATTTGTGCAGTTACAAGAATAAATCAAGTAAACTTATTCATTTACACATGCATATGCATATACAGTGAGTTACCTATCTGATGAAATGTTGAATGAAATTCTGAAAGGTGCTTTCGATTAAGAAGGATTACTTAGGCGCGGTTGTAGTACTAATTATCTTGCGCCATAATCCTATAATATTTCGGATTCGGAAGGAATGCAGCTTATTAATTCACGGCATTTTAATCTCCTGTAAAGAAACTTACTCGGTAAAAAATGGCTACTTATGTGGCAGGCATTTTTCTCATTGATTTTTGATGGTCTTGCAAATTCAAATATATCTTATAGAAACCATAAACAAAAATATGCTTTATTTCAGCCACTTAATAGAAAATCACGTCCTTTTTATATATTTTTTACAAGGAATAAGTATAATTAGGTTTTAAATAAGTTTTCCAAATCCCGAATAATTTTGAGCCAGATCTGCCATTGCGTTAGCGTTTAGCGATTTCAGTTTACAAAGTGCATGCTTTCTACGTAAAGAAAATCACATATTCCTCTAAGCGTTTAGGAAGTTACCATATAGAGTTTATTAACAGTTGCAATGGATCCGGACTATGTTGTACATTTCACGTGAAGCTGTCATAAACGGTCAGG